TGCCAGGCGGGGTCTGATGAGTATGGTTGGGCGAGGCTCATTTCATGTTACTGATAGATCTGTTCCAAGTGGGGCCCAATGTCGAGTGGGGCCTGATGATTGTTGGGCAAGGCCCAATGTATGTATGGTATACTATTTTGGGGAATTCACTGAGCTTCGTGCTTACGATTTTTAGTTTATGTTTTAGGTACTTCCCGATCAAAGGGGAAGAGCTCGGGATGATCGCATCACACACACCATGATTTCCGCTTTATTTGACTCTGATGTATTGGAATGATTAATTAACATACTCTGATTTTCTTTTATGGCTTTATGAACACGTTTTGGTTGATGGGTTTATTGTTATGAAAACGAAATTTTTGGTTTATATTTTGGGCGTTAGAGATGCGTATAGTCATGTCGGTTTAATCGTGAAACTTCGAAGAAGCACAAATACTTCATACGAAGTCGGATCTAAGCATTCTAATATCTATGGAAGTCGTATCAACGTTTCCTACATGTTTTTGAAGATTACTTGGGCTAAAGAGTAATATATTTCTACTTTGAATTTTGTAAACAATGGTTTATATTGAATCCTATGAAACGGTAAAAATGGGATGTTACCCCCTAAATCCGAGTTCAAGGTGTTTTAATATAAAGGAAACACTGAAAGATCATGGGCTTGAGCTGCATCGCTTGTCACGTCGTGACCATATACATGTCACGTCGTGATATTGCTCCGGGTACGCGTTCTCAAATTGGCTTTTCACGTCGTGACCACCCTATGGTCATGTCGTGACATCCAATTTTTCCTAAAAAACGTGCTCTTGACCCCTTAAAGCCCTATACTTATCTAATATGGAACACAGGTGTTACATTCCAACTGCCCAACCAAGATCTTAGATGAAAAAGGAACTAGAAAACATCTTAGCAAGAGGTAAAGAAGTTTACAACTCAACAAACTAGACATAAAATAACAAGCATGAAAATCCCGCTAAATGCATAAATCTGATGATTTCGGGGTTGCCGGAGGCAGCTCCGACCTCCGCAACGATGGAACGAGACAAGGATGATGCAGGGGAGGGAATGGGGATCAAACATACCTTGGGTGTGGCTGAAATCGAGCTCAATGCGTCTTATTCCTCACAAAAACCCTAGTCAACACTCATTCCTTTTTCAATATTTTCTCTCGGGTCTGCTAACTAAAAAAGGGAGAGAAATAATTCAAATGGTCCAAGGGAAGAGTACTAAGGGTAAGGGTGAGACTTTCAAGTTCTTGCATGTCCATATCGAGTAAAAGGTCCCGACATGTTGCTGCATCCATGAACCAGACTCCAACTTTCAGCTTTTGACACATTAGGTCCCTCGGGGTTGCCATAAAAATGGATTCTACCCCATATTCGATTTAACTTAATCAAAATGGTTTCAAAAAAGTACAATTCATACCCTAGACATACATATATATAATATTTAATCAAAGTAAATTTATTATTATTATTATTATTATTATTATTATTATATATTAAACTTATCCTAAAAGATGAATAGTGAACTGGTGAACAGTTTGACAAAAATGGTCCCTTACGTATATTTTTTTAACGGGGGCATATTTTGACATTAGGTATATTCTTTGTGTATACGTGTTAGCAATCCACCGCATCTTTGTCTTTGCCCACTGTATTCAGTGTCGACGTGTTGACGACCCTCCATCAGATCGACATGTTCTGGATTCTTCTCATATTTCTGCTTCGTATCCTCCTGATCAAAACGATCTGAGTCGGTGACATTCCCCACTTCTTCTGGGTCTTCACTCCGTTGTCTCTTCTTTCTCTCCCTGCTTCTTCCGGCCAGACCCACCGATTCATCGATCTTCAACATCAGACGAACCCGTCCCCACCTCCAATTGCTTCGCTTTTCTCCGTCCCCGCCTCCAATTGCTTCGCTTTTCTGTACCGACATCGACTTAGGTGCAGAGGAAGACCGACAAACGGAGTCGTTTGACGATGCGATGTATCACTCCGCCATCGCTTATGTGTATTTCTTGTGCGACAGATGCAGAAGCGACAGGTAGGTGAGCAAGGCGGAGGGTCGGGTGGCTCCTTGACTTAGACGACAGCTGAAACACTCACACACACATAAATGTGTTGCTTCGAAATCCACCACTGTCGCTTTGCAACCCACGACCATCATCACATCAGGTTTAATTTTGGATTGATTAAAGTCCAAAATCCCCACTTCCGAACTTCTGCTTCAAATCTTACAGTCTAATAATCCATGTTTCTGTCTTAGCTATTAACATCGACACTACCAACAGAGTGTTAAGATTTATGGAGTCTTGAACAAATTGACAAGTTCCTAAGAGTTCAAGGGCCATAAATGTAACTTGACAAATTAAACAATTGAATTGTTTAATATGTGTTTATTGGACGGTGAGTGGACGGCAAAAGTATTAATTGTTTAATCGAATCCATGTGCAATTTTGTTTCGGCCGTAACATGTGAATGGAAGAAAATTCAAATGGTGGCTGGTCAAACAAAACGGCTCCTCTCTCAGTATATATATGTGCGATGTAACTCTTTGTATTTGTGCCGAGTGATATTACCATTTGTAATCTTATAGTGAGTTAATATAAAATCTAGTTGCACCCGTGGACGTAGGATTTACACCGAATCCGAACCACGTAAAATCCTTGTGTTCTTCTTGCTTTATTTCCTTCGTGTGTTTGTGTGTGTGATAGTGTTTCCGCTGCGTGTACCCGGTCCGGTTCCTAACAACTGGTATCAGAGCAAGGTTAAAGGAGGTCGTATCTTGAATTATGTTCTGTGGTTGCGGCTTAGTCTGATCTGCCACATCAGAAACAAGGTTGACCGTTTTGTGTACGACAGATTTATATTCTAGTATACAATATTATTCTTCGAGAGGGTACTGTACGATCGGTGTCGTTGTTTCGGTTTTAAAAGGCGTGATCGTGTTTTCTGTCACACAAAAAGTACTATAAAAAGATTTGTCTCTTGTTTGTCGTAATGGCTGAAGACAAGGTTGTAATCGAGAAGTTCAACGGTTCTGACTTTAGCTGGTGGAAAATGCAATTAGAAGCATTGTTATGTCAGAAAGACTTGGACATGGTACTCGGAGACAAACCGGAGAAAATGGAAAAAGCTGCTGAAGATGCGTGGAACTCAAAGGACAAGAAAGCCAAGGCGGTTATTACATTGTCTTTGACGAAGAGCGTTGCTTTCAACATCATGAATGAAACCACGGCGCGTGGTATGATGGAGGCTCTGTCAAATATGTATGAGAAACCATCGGCGGCTAACAAGGTGTTCTTGATGAAGGAGCTGTTCACTACAAGGATGAATGAGGAAGGCTTAGTTACGGTTCACATTAACAATCTAAATTCAATTTTGTCCAGATTATCATCTGTGGGAATTAAATTTGATAATGAGACTCAAGCTTCGCTGCTACTAGCTTCTCTACCTGATAGCTGGTCCGGAACAGTTACTGTTGTTACAAGTTCCGTGGGGACCAGTGGTATGACTTTTGAAGGGGTTAGAGATTTGGTTCTAGGCGAGGATATCAGACGCAAGAATCAAGGTGGATCTTCCTCTTCTGATTTATTAAATGTCGGAAGAGGTAGAGGGAATAGCAGGAATAGTGGAAGCAGTGGGAGTCGGGGAAGAAGTTCATCTAGAACTAAGAAGAATGTGAAGTGCTGGAACTGCCAGGAGGTGGGACATGTTAAGAGTCAATGTCCAAAGAAAGAATTGAACATTGCTGGTGCTGAGAGTGTGTCTGAGGATGATGCATTGATACTCAGTATGGAAAGTTCTGTAGACTCTTGGGTCATGGATTCAGGGGCTTCGTTTCACACCATCGACAACGGGGAAACGATGGTGAATCTAAAAGAAGGAGATTTTGGAAAGGTACGGTTAGCAAATGACGAGATGCTTCAAGTAACGGGCATGGGAGATATTGATTTGGTTACTTCATTGGGAACTACATGGAGCCTGAAGAATGTCAGGGTTATTCCGGAGCTGAAGAAGAAATTGATTTCTGTTGGTCAGCTGGATAAACAAGGACTGGAAGTAAGGTTTGGAAGTGGTAAATGGAGGGTGGTCAATGGTGATCTGGTGATTGCTCGTGGTATGAAGCGTGGGTCATTGTATATGGTTGAGGTACCTGCTGAGGGAAGTATGGCCATCCCGATTAAGCAAAACAAAATCTGGTTCGCTAAATCTACTGCTAAGAGAGTTCATTTTGCAAACATGAATTCTGAAGCCAAGGGGATGTTAGCTGAACGAGTTCGAAAGTCTAAACCATTCAGGGGATTCTGTGACAGTGGGAGCACGGGACGTGTTTCGGGTACAGTTACAAAGAGCCGTTGGGTTTTGAAGACTAAGACTGAAAAATTCTCTCCTGTTGAATGTTTGCAAAGTTGGGAGAGTGTTGGTGGTCCTCGCTGTATCTCTGGATCCGGTGGAGTGTCCAAACCAGTTGAGACAGAGGATGAGTTGGTGGTGGGATTAGCCACGGCTGAGTTGGAGCTAGTGGGAGCTTCAACTGGCCCTTCTAGTAATTGATGATGAGGGGCGGCTGCAACTAGAGAAATCAGACTAAGTTTTAGCTTGTTCATTGGAACTGGAAGCCTAAAAGGACTTGGTTGTTTTTTAAGATTACTGGAATAATTGAGAGTTGAATGGCGGAGAAAAGCTAAAGTTGTTCAAGCCTCCAAGTGGGAGATTGTTAAGATTTATGGAGTCTTGAACAAATTGACAAGTTCCTAAGAGTTCAAGGGCCATAAATGTAACTTGACAAATTAAACAATTGAATTGTTTAATATTTGTTTATTGGACGGTGAGTGGACGGCAAAAGTATTAATTGTTTAATGGAATCCATGTGCAATTTTGTTTCGGCCGTAACATGTGAATGAAAGAAAATTCAAATGGTGGCTGGTCAAACAAAACGGCTCCTCTCTCAGTATATATATGTGCGATGTAACTCTTTGTATTTGTGCCGAGTGATATTACCATTTGTAATCTAATAGTGAGTTAATATAAAATCTAGTTGCGCCCGTGGACGTAGGATTTACACCGAATCCGAACCACGTAAAATCCTTGTGTTCCTTCTTGCTTTATTTCCTTCGTGTGTTTGTGTGTGTGATAGTGTTTCCGCTGCGTGTACCCGGTCCGGTTCGGACGTAGGATTTACACCGAATCCGAACCACGTAAAATTCTTGTGTTCCTTCTTGCTTTATTTCATTCGTGTGTTTGTGTGTGTGATAGTTTTGCTTTATTTCCTTCGTGTGTTTGTGTGTGTGATAGCGTTTCCGCTGCGTGTACCCGGTCCGGTTCCTAACACAGAGCACCATCGAAGGAGCTCACCACCATCGCAACGGTCGTACCCTACACAAACCATAGGCTTAGCAGCTGAGTAGGATGGATCGTTTCTTTTCCAGGTGATGAATATTTAGAATTTAGTGATTTTCATTTCGATTTACGCTTTCTCCCAAAACACAAATCAAACTCTGATTTTTTTTACCCCATTCCCTACGTCGTCTTCTTCCTCCTGTTGTTGTCAATCATTAATTCATTATGTTCAGCTATTTTTATATGTTTATACCTCTTTTGATTGTAATTTTTATAATTTACTTTTTTTATCTGCTTTTATTTCATTTATCTAGAACTGTGTTGTGGTTGTCATCTATTTTATTAATTTGCAGATGATTTCAATATGATTCCCCCACTCTTAAGACCAGAAATCTAAAAGCTACTTGCACAGATATTGCAATTTCATCCCGGTATATTTTTAGGTCAATTTGGCATGCCATGTGTTCGATGAAATGTTTAAGAGAATCAAATTTATAAGTTTCTACACATGATTTGTATGTTTCTGATATTAATTATCGTATGTGTCAATAGTGGTTCGGGAATGAAGAATGAACGTATCAATGGTTAGATATCAATCCACTCTGTATCTGAAGACGAGGGTTATTGTAAAGTCTATTCAGGGCATCACTTACCAAACCCCTAATTACTTGAATGTATTATGGTCCAAGCATGTGAAAAATGAAACCTATAATTTTGAAGATTGAGGTTAGTTAATGGATATTTATCTTTTTAACTTGTACAAGAAATAGTAAAGTTCCATGTTTTTTTTTTTTTTGGCCTTTTGCAGACGATTATTGCCCATGCATATGATGATATCCAAACAACTTTTGTAGCAAATAATCGAGAGAGGTAACTATAACATTCAGGTAATTACTTTATCTTTTCAATTGATTATGAAGTTTAAAAAGTGTATTTTTATTTTTAAAGCATTTTGTACTATAGAAAAGAAGTCATGTTAAATTTACTCATGATTTCGTATACTTTCAGCTACAGTCATTACCGATCTCCAACTCTAAGTTTTCCAAATCCAAATAGAGGTAGACTTCGTTGTGGATGTATGTCAGTAGCCTATCCATGTTGTTTTTCTGTTAACATTTTGTTCAACAGGACTAAAGCAGGAAAGCAAGAGCTGTAGGTGAAGAACATGGTTCTATTTGGTTAGCCCATATATGACATGCTTCTTACTGAATGTCTAAAGTGCAAGCTTATGGCATCTTCCATTTTTCCTATAAACCACGCAAAAGTTATGTTGTTTAATATGTACGTTCTTTCACAGCATCATTTCTAACACTTTTGTTGTTTAGGCTAAATTGACCATATAAAACAGAAATTTCACAAAATGAAAATGATAAAAGGAAAAACCTTAAATCCAGATATCTCAATAGCAATTGTAGCAATTTCAAAATGTGTGTAATACTCCAATTCGAAAATGACACATGATCCGCCAACCTGTTAAATAACATAAGATAAACCACATTAACATCATTCTATAAAAACAGATGTTGCTATTTCATATATTTTTTCAATTGATTTTTTATGTGTTTTTAGGACATATCACATGTTATCAGAAAGAATAGAGAAAACTTCTTGCGTTTATTCATAATGTTAAAATTAAGTGCATTATTTTTTCTGTTTCTTGATATTTCCACATTTCTATAACATATTTTAATTGATTGTATAATATTTCATCTTTTTATTGCAGAAGTTTGGTGCAAACCAGAGTCTATTCATCTAAAAAATCAATCAAAATTTATTAGGTGATGCTAAAAGTCATCACAGATGACAGATGAATATAGAAACTCTCCGGTACACAATCGTGATCAATTCCATCTTTTCTTTGGAGTTGAGTATGACATGTGATGTGGAGCATATCATCTACCATGTCTATTTAACCAATACAAATGTTTTGTTCAGCAGGTCTCCTGAGGTGCTTAGGATTTCGCTACAAGATGAGCAACGGTTGTCGTCACTCTTTGTCTTCCGAAACTCTACCTGCAAATATGGCGATTCAATTGAGCAAAAAACAAAAGGTTAGTTTTACGGCTCATTATTTTTAATAAGGCGTTTTTACTCTATCTGCAAATTTGTTTCTTTTTAATAGATTATCGCCAACCATATTGATGCTTTAATCGATGAAGGATCTGAGTCTTTCTCATGTTATCTGCACAGGTACAATTACCAAGCACTGTGTAGCGAATTTTTTTTTCCAACAAATTTGAACCAAAATCAATAACTTTCTAACTATAATCGTCATAATAGTTTTTAGTTTCTTCCTTTACAGTTACAGAGATTAGTGTCAGAAGGCGCTCATAACCTTCCTAAAAATATATAAAAAGGTACTATTTTTCACGCCCGTAAGTAATGTGCATGATTAAATGTCGTCGCAAGATTGTTGATTTGAGGAAGTATAATTGGGTTTATTAATATAATAATATGTTTTTTAGATTATTATGGGTTGCTGACAGTTTTAACTTATTTACCCTTTCAGAAAGATTTGGGACTTAATCCAACACAAGTTAGCATACCAGTGGTGGTTGCTGCAGGGCACACAGAGAGTTACCATTTTGCCCCTTCGTTTCAAAGCTGATTGTGTCCTAGAATCCTTTACAGTGTATTCATTACTATTTGCATATGATCTGATAGTATTTACCTTTTGTATTCTTTAGTAACTGCTTTTTCTTAAAAAATGTAGCAATTTATTTCATCGATGATCTATCTTTCAGTTTCTTCATAACTGCTCTACAAGTCTTTTGTCTGATCACTATTACTATTAAGTCTATTACAGCTTCAATTTGTAGGATACTCTTACAATCAAACCTCCCAAAAAAAGCATCATTGGTGCTGAGATTAATGATGTCAACATTCGGACTGCTATGTGATATTTATATATGTTTCATTTGCAAAAAGACAAAATAGGTGTAAATATTAAGAATAAAAAAGTACTTACCACAAATGACCAAAACAATTGATCAATAATCCCTTATTACAAATCCATATCCCGCAGAGCGGGATTCCTCAACCGAACCCCGCGGAGCGGGGTTTCTCCACTAGTTATTATTATTATTATTATTATTATTATTATTATTATTATTATTTCTTTTATTATTTTTATTATTATTTCTATTGTTTTTAAACAATAAAAGAATTTCATACCGGCAATCGGCATACTACACCGACAAACAAGGAAATCACCACTAACATACAAACTACATTCCAAATTATCTTCAAATGGGCAAATCTCAGTTTTACATACTTTTGAACTGTAAGAGTATATTAGCCTTAATTTACCTCTTTTACCAGAAAAGGAAATGTCACGGTAATGATACATGATACACTGAAACCCTCATAACCCAAATATGAACAATTGTATGTACCAAAAATTTAGTCTGTGAGACCAGTCGTGACAATGAGAAAGTCGAGAACATGGAGAAGAGATGAGATGTTGGTGTTTCATATTGGACAAGAACCAAAACTAAACGAAACATTTTCATAAAAATGTTTTTTGTAAGAATTTTTATGAACTCAAACCAAAGAAAACAACACACCACAAATCAAGTTGGACCGAGCTTGTTGGCAACCGTTTTTAGGCTTTTGTCCATTTTGTCATTGGGTTATATTTTAAGAATGCGTACATACCCGTACGTAGGGACACACATTTGACCCGAAGGACTGGACCGGACTACACAAAAAACGGAACTGAGGTATTCAATTAGGTTTTGATTCTCCATTTCCCATTAAATCGATTTTCAGTTCTTCGTTTCTTGTTCGGTTCGGTCCGGATCCGAAACCAAACACATTCCTAAAGAGCACATTTATTTACAGAACAGAATCGAAAACGAACCTAATTACTCGTTTCAGTTACCGATTCTTTATTTTTCAGTAAATCGGTTCCTAAGAACATCCACAATGGTAAGTTGAATGAGGTGGCAAGTCCATGTGTAATTCAATGGATGAAACTCAACCATTATGAGATGCCACATTGGCATTCAATGGATTTGGAGTTCAATAGTCATTGAACTCTTCAATGGGAAAAAAAGGAAAGTTTTAATTCTTAAATATTTACTATAAATTACATTTTGTAACATTCTATTGAACTTTATAGAGTTCAATGCATTGTAGAGAAAAAATAATAGAGTTGTATTTTTTTTTTCAAATTCAAACTTCCCATTTTTTTTATTTTTTATATTAAAAGTTTTTTTTTAATTGTCATCGTACAATGAGTGAGATGACAAACGGGCAACAAGCTGCGCCGCTAAGCCTTTTTGAATGGTAAAGTTAATTCTTTTAAAGACTACATCCGAAGATCTAGGGGATATAACATTACTATGCATGATTCGTTGAACTCTTTTAAGAAGCTCTACCGCATCCGGTGCGAGGAAACCAAACGTATCAAATGCAAATGGTATGAACACGTGTTGATTTTCCATGCACGATTTCTCATGTTTGGTGACTTTGTCTGTAGCTGCTTTTAAAGCAGCATGTCCCGCCGTGAAACCCCCAGCCCTCAGGCCCACGAGAGGGGATACCCCTGTAAGATCAACACATGCGTGTTTCCCTCCGATCCATCCAAAAATCAAAATGTCAGCCGGTCTGAGGGTTGACCTTCCTTCTGTCGGGTCAGTCAAGAAATTAACAGGTGCCTCTTTCTTAGCAGAAACCCCGACACGTTTAAATATATCAAACAAAACATCCCTAACCATACCGTGCCTGTATTTGAACCCCGAGAGTTCTTTACAGTGAACTACATGCTATCCAAAAGAGTCCAAACATGCCTTGCGACACACTGGACATATCTCGTCAGCTGGGAATATGGGAATCATGAGTTGATATTTGAGGATAGTACGATACTCTATGGGAGACATGTGTTGGCCAAGCCCATCTATAGGGATAGCCAGAAGAAAATCTTGAGCATGTGGTGCACGTAAGCACTGGAAAACTGTTTTCCGCCAAGCCGTCATGTCGAGATGCACTTCCATATCTTGGACAATTTTACGAAAAAGGGCACTCGTCAGTGTATTCTGAGATTTAAGGGGGGCGGTGTATGGATTGTAGAATGATGATATGGATATGGCAATCCATTGAACGAAGTTCAATGCGTTGTGGATGCCCTGATAGGATCGATGCTCATCCCTACCCATAGGAACTAGGAATAACTCTGTTGTGTTGGAATGGAATTCCAAAAAAGCTTGTAAATGAAACAAAGGCGATTCAATTGTACAACACGTAAAGCGTGATCCATTATACCAAGCAAGACGTGCGTCGTATTCTTCATTACCTTCCACTAGCCGCCTATCACTTTGTGTACGCTAGCCTATCTCACTCCCGAATTTTAAGGCAAAAACAAACAATCCCTAAAAATGCCAAAATACGACACAGCGCAAATGTGAGTGTGCGCGCCTGGCACATCATTCGACCCGATTCACCACTCTCTCTCTCTCCACATCCGCCATTGAAGAAGCTTTCGATTGCTGAGAAGATTCCTCACTCGACGATCGGAAAATAATCTTTATTCGATGTGATAAATCTTTTCACATTGTTTGATTTGTGATGAATGGATCTCAAAACCCATAGAGAGGGGGATTAACTCTGTGCATTTAGGGTTTGTGGAAGCAAATAAAGATTTAGGGGATTGGGATAGTGTGTGTGTGCGCGTCTGATAGAGAGCGAGGGAGAGAAATGCCTAGCGTTGCTGTGAAATTATACAGTGTGTTTTTTAAATTGATATTGAAGCGACGGTTACAGAATCGAATCCAGAACCCTAATTTAAACGATGAGACGAATAGCTCATTTGGCGTTACGTCACGTCCTGAAGAGACGATCGTGGCTGCAAATCCTTTGTTTACCGACGGCGTTGCTACCAAAGACATCCATATAGATCCTTCTTCATGTCTCTCAATTCGTATCTTCCTTCCTGAAACGTGTCTCGTCTTGCCAGATTCCGATGTTGATAGGCTTAGGGCGAAGAGATCGGAACTTGAATCCAGATCTTTCCAAGCAATTCGGAAAATGGCATTCCTCGGCGTAACAGTTACGGTTCCGCTGATGCGTATAGTGTTTCGGCAACTCCAAGCAATCGGAGGAGTAGTTATTGCAATGGTTTTAGTACGGATGATCTGAATTTGAAATCGGAGAATGGTGTTTACAGAGGTTATTCTCCGTTCACTCACAGATGTCGGAAACTGCCTCTGATGGTTCAGTTTCATGGAGGAGGGTTTGTGGCAGGAAGCTGTGATTCAGCGGCTAATGACTTTTTTTTGTCGGAGGATTGCTAAAATGTGTGATGTGATCGTTGTAGCTGTTGGATACAGGCTTGCACCTGAGAATAGATATCCAGCTGCCTTCGAGGATGGGATAAAAGTGCTCCATTGGCTGGCGAAACAGGCAAATTTAGCAGAATGTGGCAAATCCCTAGGGAGATCACCTGATTCCAGAAAGTCAGATGTTCAAGGGCATATTGCAGATGCATTTGGGGCTTCTTTGGTTGAGCCTTGGCTAGCTGCACATGGAGATCCATCCAGGTACCTTCCTATCACCTCCTTCTGTATATGTATATGTGCTAATGTGAAAATTTTGTTATAACAAACTACAAAGCTGAAGTGACTACCAACTGTATCTTAAGAATCAAAAGCTTAACACAATTTATGAGATATGAGATTTTGATGGTTTGTAACAAGATGACACTGAAACAGATGTGTTCTTCTTGGTGTGAGTTGTGGTGCAAACATTGCTGATTACGTGGCTCGCAAATCAGTGGAATCTGCTAAACAACTTGACCCAGTGAAGGTGGTGGCTCAAGTTCTGATGTACCCTTTCTTCATTGGAAATACCCCTACACGTTCTGAGATAAAACTATCAAACTCATATTTTTTTGATAAATCCATGAGCATACTCGCATGGAAACTCTTCCTCCCTGAAGAACAGTTCAACCTAGACCACCCTGCAGCCAATCCCCTCATCACCAACAGAGGTGGGCCCCCTCTGAAGCGAATGCCCCCTACATTGACAGTTGTGGCAGAACATGATTGGATGAGAGATCGGGCGATTGCATATGCACAGGAGTTAAAGAAGGTGAATGTGGATGCACCTGTTCTTGATTACAAGGACTGTGTTCATGAATTTGCTACTCTTGACATGCTTCTTAGGACACCTGAAGCACAGGCTTGTGCAGAGGACATTGCTATATGGGTGAAGAAATATATCTCACTTAGAGGTCATGAGTTTTCATATTAGCAAAACGGATTTTTAAGGGAGGAAGAGATAGATATCATACATAGAGGCACGCATGGTTTTGTTCTGTTTTTTTTGGTAAGATCACACGATTTGATTTTCGTGAGAGTATAGATTGAGTTATGAGATATAATACCTACCTACCCATTTTGGTTCATCCCATCCATGTGCTCCATGTTGGTGGATAGATTTGGTTTCCCTTGTAAAACTAGTGTAACATTTGTACCCATGGATTATATCCACATGAATCTCTCTCTCATCTTGTGTTTATTCTTCATGTTTCACTTCCATTGTATGTCTCCAGTATTATATATGTTTGGTTCATCAGTTTGTTATTTTTCTTGTCTTCAAGGGCATAGCTTGGTTCTTGGGGTAATATATACTTGCATAAGGTCGAGGGCTTTAGTGTTAATTCCAATGTGGATTGGGCTCATTTAGGACTTGATGCAGGCCCGTGTGTCTACCCAAGTTACATTCTCTTATGCAAGCTCGTCTAAAAGTTTCAAGCAGTCATCTAATTCTAAAATCTTTTGGAAAATCTATCTAACTTTGCAAAAGCTGCAGCTAATATTGTTTTATCTATATCAAATCTAACTCAAAATGGACTAAAACGACTATAAGATCCTTGTGTAAAAGTTTCAAGCAGTGGTGTATTGATAAGGATGTATACCTACATAAATGAAGGAAAACATAATTTTACGTTAGAATTGATTAATCTTGAAACATAATTATATATTGACAAGGATGTATACATGCACAAATGAAAAGAAAAAAAAAACACTTTTACGGTATAACTGATTACATTTGAAATATAATTATGAAATGTAATCTAAACATAAACGTATCATATCAACATCTTATAAAGCTGGTTAAAAGGTCTTATCAACAACCTACCCCGATCCATACATTAAACCAAGAAAAATGTTATTCTGACAGTCCAATGTGCATCATCACACTGACACTCTAGGAGCAACGATATCTAAAGCATAATATGATATCGATCAATATAGATAAAAAAAAGTCATCTAAGGGCGTGTTCGGCAAAATTAGCTGGTAGCGGGTAGCTTCTGCAGGTGGCGGGTAGCTTGTAGCTTGTAGCGTTTTGTTAAACTCTACATGAAGTAGCATTTGGATTTGGAGCGTTTTGTTTAAACTAAACACTAGAAGCTTGTAGTGCCAAACATTACTTTCTATTCAAAATGGAGCGTTTTGTCAAATGCTAGAAGCTAGAAGCTCTCAAACACTCCCAAAAGCTCCGTGCCGAACACGCTCTAAATGTTTGTTGTATAATCAAATTAGACCAACATAGAAAAATTACATCATATGAGAGCCACTCTTAATCAAAGTCCCCAAATATGGATTCCCAAATATCCATCAACGTTTCCTCAACTTCTGATCGCTGATCCGTAATAACTACTTCGCATAATCAAATGGTTCCCTTCCACATCAATGGGGACATTTTGCTAGCGGTTGGCTAGAGTGGTGGATATCGTGGTGGGAATCGAGCAACCCTAGTTTGGTTAATGAAATGGTTGTTAGGTGTAAAAAACATAAGAAAAAGTCTATCATGATTATCAAAATCAACTTTGAGAAGCCATATGATTCTAGTTCATGGGGTTTTTTGTTTAAAATTATGATGCTTATGGACTTTGGTCCCATGTGCTTGTGAATGGAAGTCCTACCAAAGAATTCACTTTGAAATAGGCATTTGTCAGGAAGATTTGTTGTCTCTTGTTCTTTTCATTCTTGTTATGTAGGCCTAAATGTCGTGATTCATGATGTCATGGATGCAAGTTTATTTAAGCATGTTAAAGTGGGCAAGGATGAGGCGTCTACCACTCATCTTTTTTAGATGATGCACTTTTCTTGGGTATGTGGTTGAAAAGTAATGTGGAGAATATGGTTTCGGTGCTCCACTGTTTTCATAAAGCTTTGGGCCCAAGGATCAATCTCCAGAACTTGTATGACATTGGTCTGGCGTTTGGTGGTGTGCATAGATGGCGACAGATACATGCTGAGATTCAAACTCTTTCCCATTTTCTTATCTTGGAATTCCTATCGGTCAGAATATACATAGACATCATAGTTGGTATTTTCTTTTGGAAATGTTTAAAAAGAAATTAAATGGGTGGAAAGTTAAGATGTTATTAATTGGAGGTAGATACACTTTGATAAAGTCGATGCTTGATGCTCTTGGTATATATTGTTGTTCTATTTTTAAATTCTTGGTTAAAGTTTGTTGACTATTAGAATCTGCGAGGGCAAAGTTTTTATGGTGTGGTGATGTAGAGGAGAAAAAAATATTGTGGGTTATTTGGAGTCTTTCTATAGCCTCAAAACAAAAGGGTGGGTTTGGTATAGGGAGCCATGATGCTTTTAAATTTAATAGTGCTCAACTTTTGAATTGGAGGTTGGGATTTGTCAAGAATCTTAGGGCTTTGTGGGTCAAGGTGGTCAAATCCTTGCATGGTGAAGGTGGCGGATTTATGGGGGGGGGGGGGGGGGACGATGGAGTAGGGGTGATGGGAGTTTGGTCTAGTATTGTAGGTTTCATAAATAATCTAAATAACAGACAAATCATTCCTATACATACATTGAAAAAATAGTTGAAGATGGATAAAAATACTAGCTTTTGGAAGGAAGTTCGGGTGGGGGAGGTCCCTTTAAGAGATGTGTTTCCTAAGATTATTTACACTTGATATGGATCCTAACAGTGTTATTCATGATAAATGGGAAAATGGTCAATGGAAATGGAATTAGAGTATATAGACAAGAGGTACGACTATACTTGGCCAACTCTTAGTTTTGGAAAGCTTGGTGGAAGAGTTAACGTTTTCTCAAAACATGGATTGTTGGATTTGGAATATTGCAAATGGGGTGGATTTCACGGCTAGTGAAACACGACATCACTTTGATAATGTAACGTCCTAAAAGCCATAGTAATTTTTTTATTTTTATTTTTAAAGCCATTTTCATAAAAACCATAAGTCAATCAAACATTGTTTTCAAAACATAGTAACAAAATCAGAGTATCAAATACCAACTCTCAACATAAAAATCCATAGGATGATGTGTACAATCAAACATTCGCCTTCCCCCAATCCTCTGAAGTACCCAAAACATTTGAAATCCACAATTGTAAGCCAAAGTTTAATGAGTTCCTTAAAATACCCCACACAACAATACATTCAATGCATGCACACATGAGCCTTCAGTCTGTCTGGACCACCAGACACGGCCTACAATATGCCTAGACAGCTCTCCGAGCTACAGTATAACTGGACCGCCCCTTGGGGCCTACAGTATAGTTGGACCATTCCCTTGGGCCTACAGTCTGACTGGACCGCCCGAGTATCTTGGCATACAACACAAAGCAGGACTACCTCAACCCAACCACAACATGTCGACATATACACATAAACAATACAAGTAATCATATCATATTTTCCTACCCAACATAGCATAACCACATCCTATACACAAGGATATACAGATCACTATAACACAACAATATCCTATCCACCAGGATACATAGATCTCTACAAAATAAAAATATCCTACACACAATGATACATTATGTAGTATAAAGTATAGCGAGAAAACTCACTTTGTAAGCTAACAAATATTAACACCGCCCACACGAAGGCAAGAACTGTCACTACAAGCTACCTATACATCAAATAGAGGCAAATCCTCAATCTATGGCCTTAAAGCCCTCAAGTTAACTCAAAAGTCAACTTGGTCAAAATTCAAAGTCAACAGTCAAAATCTCTTAGTCGGCCGCCACGTCGTGGCCAAGCTTCTGCCACGTCGTGGTGGCCTTAGGACAAAACAGTCACGGAGACTGTTTGTCGCCACATCATTGAGACCAATCCTCCACGTCGTGGGAACTGCGTTGGCCATCCTAATGCATTAAGCTCTTAATCACTAAGGTCATTCATCCATACTTTCCAGAAGGCTTTCTTATAACCAATGGATCATAAAAATCGATGCTTTATAGACATGCATGTCCTAAGCAAGTCTTTAGCTCAAGTTAGGTCAAAATGGTGAAAAATGAGGTCAAAACCTCTAACATGGAATCAAAACCCTATAACCATTTAGATCCAGAACTTATAATCACCAAGGGACCTCAAGGATCCATAAAGTTGTCAACTTTATAGAACCTAACCATTCAAACTCTCACAAACATGGAGAAAAGAGACAAGAAATCTAGATCTAGAAGCATTACACATAAGGATTAAAACTTGAGGACTTACAAGAGTCCAAAATATGTGCAAAGATATGGTGACGAGGTTTGTTTGCTAGATCATGCACCAAGAGCTCTTTCTTCTCCTTCAAAACACCAAAAGTGCCACCAAAAGCTCTCAAAATGGAGCCTATGGTTTCTTTGAGGGTGAAAGGGAGGTGATGGAGGCTGAGGGTGTTAAACCCTAGCCATCACATCCCTTAAATATGGGCATAAACCCTGAAATTAGGGTTTTTGTAACACTGTGATTTTTCACCCAATTAAAAAAAAACATTTATTTAACAGAATACGTTGCGGAAGACTTATTATGATTATTTCAAAAACATCACCAATGTTACTTTCATGTCAAAACAAACCCATCAAAATTTAAAGTTCACAAAAACATAATGATGAAAACCCAACATGTCCAAATGGTATCATAACTAAAGATACTAAAGTAAACTATCCAATGGTTCCCATCCTCACCAAGGTATCATGCCAACTACATGTTCCAATGCACAAAAACCAACAAGCAAAGAACAAGTTTTAGCATAAACTAAGTGAGTCAATATAGTACAATGTTAAGAGAACACACATATCATAGATGAATTCACACAAAACATCCACACAGTCAAAGACTTAATTACTAGCAAGACATACAACATCACACCACATAACAAACAGAGGTTTAGCTCAATTTATTTTAGTTCTTCTTTTAGAGCTTCTTTTATTAGTTACTCTCCTCAACACGGCTGTAACTAATTTTTATTTTATTGATTCGCCGCTTAAATATTAATATATAATATTTTGTTTCTCTGCTTTACATTAATAATTACTCACCGCTCACCATCATTGTAATTATTAAAGTAATACCTCCTAATTAGGGTCTATATATTCACCGCAAAACCCCCAAGGCAAGACCCCGTTCGCTACTAATGTGACCGACAAGACCCCGTTCGCTACTAACGTGACCGGCACGACCCAATACACTAGGTGAGACACGACTCTCACCCGTAATCATTGCTCTCGTGCGTTGCGTTCGCTACTCCAACTGTGCACATACGTATACATGCGTTGTCGTTAAGGATTGGTACAAGCGGTGCCAATTCT